TCCACGTGAGAACATAGTGGGACTAGTAACCCGTGCCAGGTTTGAGCCAGTGGACCCCTCCCTCCTCTAGCATCGGTTGGCTGATTGGAAACTGTTGCTACAGGAGAGGATTAATGTCTTCACATTAGCTGCCCAGCCATTGTCTCAGGAGTCTTTAAATGAAGGCTGGCCCACAAAGGAAACCTTAACTCATCTCATCAAGCAGAACACACCCAATCTAGTCATTTTTTTTCTTCTCATTCTCAAACAGACTCTAACACCAGCCTCAGTTAGTCTGAACTACTGATATGGTTAAAAGAAACACAGGTAGTTGTTTGGATGTGCTGCTATCTCTCAATTACATTTGGAGTCGTTTGTAATCATTTCCAGTAAACAGATGATTTCCCAATGAAAAGCATAACTGAGAGCGTATGCCAGGATAGGAAATCACAACTGTTTCTACAGAGAGTGACTCACACCAGTTCCTTTCGAGTCCTCTGTTCATGCAGGAACTTGTTGCTTCCATATTGTGGAACGAAAGTGTTGTGGCACCAACGCTGTCAATACAACAGTCCCTCATGCCTCCCCTGGTCTGTGCACACACATGCAGGCCGACAGGAGGCAATCACAACATTGTCCTTTGGTCACCACATAATTAAAAAGCTTTCCTTGAGTGACTCTTCTCAGTTTGAGCAGCGGAGCAGTCTTCCTCGAATAATCGCCCTCTATCTGGGAGATTTACGCCGAAAGTCTGGGCTTGTGTCCTAATGCCACATAAACAGGTCACAACAAGCTCCATGTCTGCCCAAAGACAAAGAATTGACAAATGAATAACACGAAAACAAATCAGGCTTGGTGCGAACCGTTTCTGGAGGATGTGTCCGGTCTGTCTTGATGCAGTGTCCTAGCTGCAAAGCTAAAAGTTGAAGAGTTCTCCTCTAAAAAAAACATAACAACGCTTTGCAATCACGTTTTCATAAACACCATGCTACGCTAAAGAAGGGAGAATCCCATCAACCTGCTCCTTATGCTCTTAGCATCATTCCTGAGATCTTTTACAGCCTCATAACTCCCCAGAATTGATAAGAAGTGTTTATGGTCCAAGGCGACAGAGAGTTGAAGGGGATTACACGTGACCTGTGTCCTAACCATTTCCTTAGTCTATTCTACAGCTTCTTATTAGATGGGTGCTGCCTCTGGTTTCAGGATGAATCAGCCTGTTGTTGTGCTGGCTAGCGTTTCTTTTTGGTTAGACATGCTAACAAATAATTGAGGTAATCTTATGTGGTTTTATTGTCTTTTGTCTGCCAGGAAAGTTGTTTTGAATGAAGCAATCTGCTTCCACCCTCTCTGCCCAAATCACGCAGGAGCTTCTATAAAACCAGATATATTTCTCACAAAGCCACAGGAATGGAAGTAACAGATTTAGCTGGGTAACTGTGAGAAAATAGAGCAGATATCTAAATGGGCACTTTCCATATCTGGATAATAACAGCCATTTCCTCTTAATTTGTCCTGCATGGAGGGAAAATGGCTGATTATCCCCTGTGGAGACCTCCTTCCCCCGAATCCGGGATGGGTTCTGCCCTCATCGTGTGATTCAGAGCTGTGGATTGAATCTGAGAACGGTGGCTTCACCCCAATGTCACAACCGACCCCACCCAGACTCCCTTCCCCTGAAAGCACACATGCACGCACGCAACGAGGTGTTTTTCAGCCTTCCAGCAGAAATTAACCCTGACGCAAGGTGCCTGCGTTTAAAAGAAGAATTCAGATGGTTGAGAAGAGAAAACTTACCACAGGGTGACGTCCAAAGGTCCTCAGACATGGTTTTGTCTACTAAAACCTGCAGGATGAGACTTACTGTGATGACCCTGAAGGCAACGTGTCAGCCCAAACATTATTACTATTATAGAGGGAACTTGAAAAATATATCTTATATTTCCTTATTTAACCCTTTAAAGCCTGATCCAAGAAATATAAGAAGAATATTGGATTTTTTTTAGTCTGAAGTCTTTCTTTGGCCCCTCAACAACACATGAAGAAAAAAACAGGACTTATTTTGATCAAATTAGTGGCAATAAGTCAAAAATGTATTTTGGTGTAGTCTTCTACTGGCTGTCATCAGGTATATCTGAATGTGTACAACAGGGGTTTGAGCAAAGCTTTTACCACTGAAGGAAGCAAAAAGTCTCAGATCCAAAAGACTTCAGAAACCGTTTGTGCCAAATATGATACATTTGGAATTATAGGGTTAAAAGAAAACTTAATTGATAAAATCAAACCTTCTCTAAATATCAAATCCGAATGAATCGGTGAAAATGAGAGTTTTGATTTTCCTTTGAACATTAATTTGTACTCACTCCCGTCTCCCATCAGACAGGCACTGTGATGTGCGCTCCCATCTGAAATAACCAGAGCAATAGAGAGAACAGAATGTATGCGGTGACGAGCAGAGTCTGTGTTTTCTCATCCTGCAGCCCGCTGGGAAGGAAAGGTCAAGCTGATTAGATAACGGCCCTGAATGCAGAGCAGCCTGCTGGGTTATTACGCAGGGCCTCCGGTTCCTGTACAGCGTTGCTCATACTTGCTTCAGACTTTAACATTTTCACATCGTTAAATGGAGAACTGCTCAGATGGCTTTAGCTGGTAGATCAATAATGAATATATGACGACACAGGAATGACTTCCTTTGTAATTTGTGGTGTAAGAGTGGAGAAAGGGCTTGGCATATTGGTGTGGTTATCTAAAGTGCATTGAAACTCATGCCCTGATCTTTGATAGTGATGTCAACAGCCAGTAAAACTAAGTTTCATTTCAGGTACAGAAGCACATCACAACCCATTTGTAACTGTCTATAAAGACAAAACCATGAAGCCTGTTTAGCCTCTTGGACCTCTCCCCAGCCAAGTTACTAAGTAAGCATTTGGTCATGGCGTCTTAAGTGCAGATACCTGTTTGTTTTCACAACAACCCAGGTCTTTAAACTTGCCATTGAGTCCCTCCTATGACCCCAGAGCCAGAGTGGTGTGAATAAAGTGCCGCTGACCGACCTTAAAGCTCTGTCAACACGGTTAAGGCGCCATGTGCGTTGTGTTATTCTCCGTCATGCTGCGTTGATTCTTCACTCATCACTTGTAACACGTGACACATCTCACCTCATGAACAGACGCTGCGAGGTGCATTTTTTCTGTGAGGCGACCCTCGAAGAAATCAAAGAAATTCCTGTTCATAAGTCCTTTGAACTTTCATCTTTTTTAGCTCCAGACTTTGCACACAAACCTATCAAGTAACAAACTTCCTTGTTCTCCGGCAAAAAGGGGAACCGTACAAATCTCCCTGTGTGGGTTTTAACCAAAAGTAATGAAGTACAACAGTGCATGCCAGTGAATATCCAACCAGGATTACAAACCAGGATCACATCTGTTTGGTAAATATTGTGCTCATTACCGGCTTATTATGAGACATAACACTGGTTTTGGTTTTTCAAACACAAACCACATATGCTGTTTTTAGGCCACTGCTTCTTGGTTAGCACGTGACAACACAAAAGAAACACTTCTCTCCATTTTCCATGTTCTCTCGTTCATGTGTTCAAAATGTGCAGTTTTATGGCAAAGTTAACATTTATGTATCATTTGATGGACTTTAAAGTCCTAGACAGGCTGAGGTTGTCCAAAAACCTGAAACTTTCTTCTTAAAAACCGTACGGTTCCTAATCTTTCCCTGATTACTTTCAACACAAACCACATTTAAAAAGAAGAAATGACACATTCAAATCCTATTATTCTTGTATTTTTTTCTTAAAAAAACATCAAGAATCTGCTTCTTTTGTTATGAAAGTAAGCAAAATGAGGAGTGTTTTTTAGACTATGCACAGAGCTCTTAGAAATGCAGCTCTTGGCTAATCAGGCCCTCCTCGTTCATGTGGCTGTACAGACTGTACTCGTGTGGTGAAGAGGTTAAGCCCCGGCAGATGAATCAGAAACTCAGTGTCCTTGTGAAGGAGGCAAAACAAGGATGATAACGTCAAATTCCACTCTAGGTTCAGAAAAACACACTAGACTCATTTAGCTTTTTCCCTATTTGACTGGATTAGTGTTTCTTTTGCCTGAAAACGTGGATTTCAGCACAAAACGTGGACTTCCGCTCCTCTAGCACATATTACCACATAGGAAACCGAAATTCTACAGAGCAAGTCACACGTCATTTAACTTTCTACTTCCCTTCTTATTCTGTTCATTGCCAAACAAACAAATATTACACATAGCTATACACGCAATTCATTTCAAATTAGGATTGTTTTTTTCAATAGTGAGCTAAAACAATCGCCATCCACCTTGTTAAAAATGAAAGTACAATGTCATAAAGTTTAACAGAAACAGCTTTTGTGCTAATATCCAGCTAGGTTTTCTTTTTTAATCCATTGTCACATTCAAGTTAAACCTTTTAGAAAAATTTAGATTCCAGTATCAACATGATGCTAATGAGAAAAGGCTTTTCAGAGCAACAAGTAGTTTTCAGAAGTTCAAGGCTTTTATTGGACAGTGGAGCGAGTGCAGTATGAGAAACTCTGTCAGTGCATTTAGTCTACAATGAAATGTCTCAAGAACACAAAAATACATAAACAGAAAGCCCTGTACATCTAGAGCATTATGTTAATTTAATAGATAATATTCTAACGTTAGCACCAAAGCCTCCCACAGTAACACAAGCACATGCAGCAGGCCACATCACTTCTGACCTGCAAACATTACATTTTTCTTTCGGGCCTCAAGCAAAGTGATTGTGTTTAACACGATAACAGATTATCCACAGGGAATGGTAGTAATGGCAAATCCACCGAGGGGTAATAATACTGCAAAAGACAGAAGCCGTTAGGTCCACGGGTCCAAACACCCACCCTGAGATGGGGCCTGCAGGCAGCTTAGGTCCGTCCATTTAACCCCATGGACGTTTGTCTTTTTATGAAACGGATGAATTCAAATGTCCGCTGAGATCTCAGCTAGCCCCTCCCACGGTCACACGGAGGACTCGGTGTTGAACACCTTAGCTTTGAGGGTCATCAGGCTGCACTGCAGGTGGGAGCCGCTCTCCGACTGCAGGGCCTCAGAGAACTTGATGTCGTACGTACGGCTGACCTGAGACTTCCTCTTAATGGAGTTCTGGATGGTCTCCGAGGTGAAGTAATACACGATGGGATCGAAGCAGCAGTTGGACACGGCGATGCAGAGGGCGATCGGGTAGATGGTCCGAACCACCGACTCCACGTAGCAGGACTTTAACGTTTTTGTCCGAACGAGGGCGTAAAACACCAAGTTTACATTGTAGGGGATGAAACAGAAGCAGAAAATAAACAGGTGCACAATGATCATGCGCAGAATCTTCGTTTTGTTCACCTTGCCCTCGCGGCTGACCGTCTGGGGGCGGCGCAGGGTCTGCAGCACCATGATGGAGCAGCACAGGTTGAGCAGCAGGGGGATGACGAAGCCCACCGTCTCGATGAAGATCACCACCTTGGACAGGTGGGACTTCCACTGCTTGGACGAGAAGTTCTCGAAGCAGTAGGTGGCGTTGTCCTTGTTGTCGCTGGAGGTGCTGTTCAGCAGGAACCCCGTGGGGAGGCTCCCCGAAAGAACCAGCACCCACACGGCGGCGCACACTATCTTGGCCTTGCGCTTGGTCCTCAGCGTCCGGGAGCGGAAGGGGTGCACGATGGCCAGGAAGCGGTCCACGCTGATGCAGGTGAGGAACAGCATGCTGCCGTACATGTTGGTGTAGAAGAGGGAGACGGAGACTTTGCAGAGCATGCTTCCGAACGGCCAGTTCTGGTTGATGAAGTAGAAGACCCTGAGGGGCAGCGTGAAGACGAACAGCAGGTCGGACACCACCAGGTTCAGCATGTAGGTGGTGGTCTCGTTCCTCAGCTTCAGAGAGCAGGTGAAGATGTAGATGGACACCACGTTGGTGATGAGCCCCACCACAAACACAATGCTGAAGACCGTGCTGTACAGGGGGTATTTGAAGCCGTCGTTCTTGCTGCAGTTGGAGTTGGAGTTATTGGCTGACCATTGCTGGGGGTAGCTGTCGTTGGGGAGGCTAGTGTTGAACATTATGAGACAGAGAACAGCGGGGGGCTGTTATGTAATGGCTATACAATGAAAGGCCTTCCCTGCACAATGAACTGAGCAGGGATAAATAGTAAAGAACCGAGTAGTCCAACACGCCGGGGCATTGAGAGGAACTCAGGCCATTTGAGCAAATGTTTCTCTCCAAAACAGCTGTCCATGTCATTGAGAGCTGCTGCACGTGGTCTCGATGCTGTTAATTTGGGGGGTTACAGCCCGTTGAAAAGATCCCTCTCAGCAGATATAGATCCAGGCTGGAGCTTCTTCCCCTCCCCCTGCCCAGGCTCTCTCTCAACCAGGGCTCACCCCACACGCTCCACGCTCACTTTTACTTTCTCAGATGAATGTGTCACTCACATGCGCGTCCCGCTCCCTCAAACCTTCCATAATCACCACGAGCCTCAGAGACCACAAAGGGAAACGGGGACTTATCTTCTCTCAGATCCGTCTCAGAGGTGTCCTCATGGCCAGATTCCTTCTCTTTGTTTAAAGTCCCTCCAGGGTTTATGTCCATTTCAGCTCCAAAGCAGAAAAAAAAAACGGTCACATGTTTCCCACCTTACAGTGAGTCCTGACCCTGAAGTGTAAAGGTCTCTCCTCCAAAAAGCAGAAGAAAGAAAGAAAAAGTTTCAGTTGATGTCCTGTTTGATTGTGTGAATGTCTCTCAAAGTGCTCGGCGTGCGTTTCCTGCTCCGGCTCTGTCCTCCTTTCACAAACTGGAAGGTTCCTTGAGCATCTACCGGGCTCTCCCTCGAACAGCCTCAGGACTTTTGGCCTGCACTCATCACATGCAGAATCTCCACTCCTCCTTTGTGCCGGTGAAAGACAGTTTTTCTACTTTGAGCGGAGGGGAGAGCAGCCCGAGTAACTCCTCCTCCGGCCTCACACGCGGCTCCTCCCTCTTCTTTTGTCTGCGTGTGTGGTTAAAGAATCACCCCAAACAGCAGTGAAGTGAAAGGCAATTTAGCATAGCTTTGTGGTGCATGTGATTTACAGAAACACTGTCACGCCACTCCAATCATTAATGCATGTAGAAAACAAGAGTTCTGAGGAGTCTTTAATTGAATGGGTATAGAATCAGAGGCTATATTTTTTGTCTATCTTAACCCTAAAAACTAACTTTCCAGAGTTCTTACTGAAATTAAAGTCCTCTCTGCTCTGGAGGACATTGAACACATTCAGTTAGCATATTTGGTACACTGTAGTGCATTTAAATGTTGGGTATATGAGAAATAATTTGGCTTTATTTCACTAAAAATAAACAGCAGTTGATTTTTATGGAGTCTATTGTTATGTGTAGCTGGGTTTTAGATCCAGGTAAAACTTCTCTAATATATGAAGTTTAAATCCTTCTACCAGCGATGGAGGCAGGAGGTCAAATAATCCTGAGAAGGCCCTGAAAAATACAGAAAATGGCCACAGGGTGACTGCCTCCACAGGTCTAACGGGGGGTTCGGATAAAATGTGGCCGGTCTCAGGCTGTGTGGGCAACAGCTTTCTGTTTTCCAGAGAACATCAGAGTGAAAAAAAACAGAGGGCTTTCTCTGTTCAACAGCTCTGGGGTCAGCCTTGTCCGTCCATGCCCAAAGTGTTCTTTCCTCTCCACATTGTAAAACTTTCATTCAGGTTCTCCTTTAGCTGAGGCTTTGGACTTGGCAGTTGGTAAAAAGTGTGGGGCTCTCGCTGGGAAAGAAACAGTACAACCGGGAAGAATGTCTTAGAAGTCTTAGACACAACTTTCAGCTTCTTTATTACTGTAGACCTTTTTGTTTTGGGTGACCCTTACTGTGTCAAACAGAATGCAAAAGGCCTGCTTTGGTTCTCTGTCCCAATAATATTGTTTTGCCACCAAAAACCTAATTTTCTCCTGGAGTAAAAATCATAAATACCTTCAAAGTTATGTAATTATGTTCAACAATATTTTCCTGACTGTAGTGATTCATGGACATAACGCTAACACAAACACGGGGGTCGGTTACAAACACAAGCCGAACAAATGAAGGAAAATCCTCACAGAGAATCAAAGAGACGCCGGGTGTTTTATGGCTTGAGAACCTCTCTTTGTCAGTCATCCGCAAAACAAACATCATCAAGGCTCCAACCGAAAATGTAAAAGAGAAAAAAAACAAAAGGGAAAAAAAGAAAGGCCGGGACCATTGTCTTTCGCTCAAAAAATAGTTACATCCAGCACATAAAAACAAGCTCTTCACATGCAACTGTGTGGTTACAAAACACAAACACGCGTTTGAAAGTCCAGGACTGTTACATTTCTCACAATAGCAGGAAGCCGTCTCCCCCCCCGCCCCCGCCAAGGCCAAGACTGAAGACATGATGCTATTGTGTGTCTCTGTGTTACGATCCTGGTCAGACGCTGAAATTCAAGTTAGATATAAAACCGAGTGAAACACGGGTGTGTTGTGACTCATAGCTGCGATGTGTGTGAAGAAAAGGGCAAAAATAGCATCGGTGTGAAACCTCAATGTGCCGGGTAAGATCTTACATTGCCAACAAAGCTCACAAAAATGGTTCCTCTGTTCTTTGATCAATATCAGAGCCTACCTAATAACTTCATAGTGTTTTACTGCTGTGGATAGTTCATTGATCCAGCATCAGAGATCTCTTTGGAGAGAATTGCAAATGACAAAAAACTGGATACAGCACAGGCCCCATTTTAGGTGTTATCAAATGTATTGCATAATTAGCTGGGTTTGTGTCAAGACTTAAGACTCCTGTGTGAGTCTTAAGAAGCAGAAGTCCTGAAAAATGAGGCAGCTCTCATAAATGTTTGTGTTTGATGAAGGCACGGTGAATAACAATCAAACAAAATGGAAGCTGCGGAACAAATGTTTTTACTTGGCAAGAAGGTATTCTGTGCCGAGAAGCCCTTTGAATAACCGTCAGACATCCCCTCCGCTCACCATCACCGTGGAAACAGAGGCTGTGCAAACGCTCCACACACATAAAGCGAATCACTGCGGGTGACTTCTGATCAGAAAGTAGATTCAACACTAATTTCCAAATTAGTCAAAAAGCGATTTGTATAAACCAAGATAAGACAACGTATATTTTTGACCTATTGTAACAGCTTTTCTTCAGAAGGCTACATATCTATAAAAGATAAACAAGAGGCACAAAGATCAGTCATGATGAGTTATCTTTGTTTTCACCTTTTCTGGAAAACCCGAATGAAAACAAAACCAGTCTTGACATTCAATAGCAAAACGAGGAAAAGTCTGCGGTTGGGAATCAAAATTCTGACTATTCTGACAATCTTTCCCCACCCACAAACCACCCCCTCCGTCCCCACCGTGCATGTGAAGGGTTTCGAACAGTAAACCATCAAATGCAACGCTCGGTCTTTCATCTACTTTTGTCAAGTCACAGACTAGCGTTGTAGAAGATCTACAATAGTGAGATGAGACCTCTGTCTGTGGGACAAAACGTCCCGGTTTGGATAGAGATGCAGCGAAAACTGAGCTGTGGCTGAACAGCTTATAATCAGGAATTAAACAGTGGGGGTCTTCTACTATACAATAACCAACTGTAAAGCCTGATCATGCATTCATGTAAACTATAATAATAATAAAAAAGATGTCTGGGTCATGGTCTGACTTCAATCCATTAAACCTCCCTTATAAGGATCACATAGAAACTTTAAGGTTTGCCAGAAACTGGTGTTAAAACAGTCAGATTTTGATCATGGAGAAACCACAGGAGCAGAAAATAAAGATGCTGAAAACTTCTCTTGCTTAAGCGTCATATTTAACCCAGACTGAGCTGAAGCCACAAAGTAAAAATACCCTTTTTCTTTTTTAAGAGGCAGACTTGCGTAGACTACTTCACAATTTCCGCCCCACAGCACATCAGATAAAGGACCTTACCATGAGTAAATAAATCATTGACTTTATTTTCAGGCAGAGCAGAATAACGTGGCCGAGCGCCAGTGACCGTTAGCAGCTGTGTACACTTCCTCATTTGACTTGCAGAAAACCGTTTAACTGCTTTGAGAGATAGTATTATTACAGTGAAGTTATGCCACTCACTTCATTCCCTTCCTCAAAAAATAAAACTCACTATGAGTGACAGCTTTTTTCGTCATATTTTGAGATGAGAAATGACTTACCAAAGAAATCTATGATCTGAAATACTAATTAATACATTAGAATTACTTACACAAGTGATGGTGTGTTTTGGTAAAAGGTTTCCACACTGGTTTGGTAGCTCAGTCATCAGACAATCCACACGTGCCCACACTTGTTGATCAGCTCCACAAAGGAAGCTTTTAGGAATATGAATCACTTGTTTAGCTCATTTGATTAGCCATTTCCTGTAACCGGGTGAAAGCATTATGTTCATTGTATGCTGGGGGTTTGGCGTTCATCACATGAGCCCTAAAACATTCATTATCACCCGTCTGGGCTCCTGATAAAGCCTTTTCACTTTGGAGGAGCACAAATGATTAAAAAAAATCGGCAAAGTAAATCCAGTTCCTCCTGATTTTGGCGGGTTTCAAAAGGCTGACTTGAAAATAAGGTGCTAAAAGTGCCGTTAAGCGAGCAGGCAGCCAGGAGCATCAACAAGCTGCCCAGGCAGGAAGAAAGTCAACCGTGCACGCCGCATTTATCTGTGCACGTGTGGCCCAGATCGCATTGCATCACAGCAGAATCAAAAGCATAGCTTGCATTTGTTCTTCTAAAAAGGGGGTAGTTTTAGGGGTCTAGGATCACTCTGAGGGCAAATAAGCTCGTCTTTACTAAACCAAAATGAATACATTTAATACAAATGTGAACAGTCATCCTTTTGGTAACACTCATATGCGGGAAAGTGACTGTCAACACAGAGGTGAAGCAAAAAATTGTGAGTGAAGAAAGGTGGTATCATGAAAGTGATGGTGGTGTGTGTTGCAATAAAAACATTCCTCCATAATGAAATGGTTTATTCTAATATTTATAATCATATATGGGGTTATTCCATGTTACATATGAACATAACATTGTCAAATGTCAGCATTTGTGCTCACAGCATTTTCCATATAAAATGACAAAACAAGCGTTTTTTTTTTGGTCTTTTTGTCTAAATCTCTAACTGGTCTATTAAAACAAGCTTTGTGGTACATTCTATCATGACCAAGTCAAGATTGTAATACCTCGAGGTCCTACATGAGGTTTACATGCAGTCTGCTTGCAATTATACCAATCTAAGAACTATTTCATTACCGCAAGGTGCGATCGGGGAGACATAAAAAGTAACCCTTGTAAAAAGTTTGCTGCCTATAGGTTAGTAAAAAAAATAGTTGTAAACATACCAAATTCCAAGGAAACTCAAGTGAAAAATGAGCAACTGTGACTGGCAGGAAACACAAGAATCAACATGTTTGTGTGAGTCAAGCCCCGTTTCCAGCAACACACATCCTCAACAGCAGGACCTGCACAGTATGCAGCAGTATGCAGTCACTTTGAAACAAAAACAACAATAGAGAAACAAAACACACCTTTTCTCATCAGCCCAAATGTTAATCACCATCTATCAGACAGGGACTACAGTGCTGTTACATTTCAGAGGAGGAAGACTGGTTTGACTTTTTCATAGACTCCTCACTGGAGAAAGTTGGACAAACAAGGCATCCAAAGTATGGGAATGAAACAAATCAGTGTGGACATTATTTATTAGCTTTATAACAGTTATATCTTATCTAAGGATCTGTATCAGCTTTGAGTTAGCGTAAAAAAAGAGAAAAACAGAAGACGCTTTTAATATGTGTGGATATTCTGAGCGCTGTATTAAAGGTTGATTCATAGCTGGCTTTTTATGTTGAGATATAATTACCTATTAAATCTTTAGAGGAGTGTAAAGCATTCAGGCCTCCGGTTGGCTTTTGAGTGTTAAAAGATTTGAACAGACAAAGGGCGACAAAGACTCGGCCGACCCCGTTATCAGTAACAGGGAAAGAACAGAACACTACTGTGGCACATCTTCCTGTTCAGCCTCTGCTTGTGAATGGATTAAAGTCACCCAACATTTCCAGCCCACTCTGCTGTGTCTGGACCAGGTTTAGCACATACACAGGAGGCCCGGTTAGCGGGTGAAACCTTAAACCATTTGCCTCTTCGGGTCTTTCAGGAGCTGCCCGACCGGCTGTTGGCTCCTCTGGGGCTAAAACCACATGCTCTTGAATTCATCACTACAGTTCTAGTCAGTTTTTGAAGGCCCCGTAGAGACTGGCTTTGCTAATGAAGTTCTTGAGCAGGTCATGGTCCATGTCTGCAAAGGCCTGGGTCTGCGTGACAGCCGTTAGGTGGTTGACACAAAACTTGAAGCAGAACTCCTCCAGGTCCTAGAAATGAAGAGGGCTATCGGGGCGGTGCTGGGGGGGGGGGGGGGGGCTGGGACTGGCTAGCTAGCGTGCAGACCCCCGCCACCGTGCTGTCTGACTGTGTGTCAGCGTCTACGAGCTTACCCGCGCCTCGTACTTGACAGCTGCAGAGAGCAGAGTGATGGCGTTCTCCTCAGAAATACCCCGCTTGATCGTTTCCTGACACAACCTCTTTAGTCTCGTCTCTCTGTAGAATGTAGCCAAGTCTAAAAGCCCTGCAAACACACACACACACACAGACAACAGACACAACTTAGTACGACTTGTTTAAATTCCTGGTTCTGAGGCTGTAGGAAAAATAGCTTACCAATAGCATCCTCTGGTGGCAAGTTAATAGTGTCTGTGTAGAGATACTCCAGGAAGGCTCTGTAGACCAGGTATGAAAACTGGTGTATTTCTATGGAGTCTTCATCCGTTTCATTCAACAGCGCACGGAAATGCTCACACCTGGAGAGGTTAGGGAAGAAAAAAACTCAGCTGTGAACAAGAATGTGCTTGTCCATCTAACACCAATAAAACTAATATCACTGCTCCACCAGATTTTATGTCACTCTGGTTATTGTTATTAAATTTGCATTTAAAAAGATAAGAACAGAATCCCTCAATTAAAGCAACGGTGCAATGAACCGTAGAGATAATTTTTTACAGTTTGAAGGAAAGGGAAAATAAAGGAGACAAAATCATAGATCCTGAGATATTATCTAAACATTTTAGAGACCCAAACAAAGTCTATGTCAGTGAAGTAAACGGCACCTAAAGATGCAAATGTCGCCCTATTTAGACGACTGTGGGCCGACCACACCAAAGCTTCCTGTGCACTGGCACGTTAGCTCTCTGAAGTTTGAATGTGTGGGTGACAGAAGTTCCCTTGTGTTTCTGTTTTCCTCCCCTGATGCAGACGCATCCAGGTGCACGTGTACTGTGTCCGTGCACTCACAGAGCTGCGTGCGATTGGTTCCTTGTGGGCTGGTGCACAGGACAGAATTCACATCATACATACGAGTAAATTTGGGATTAAAAAGAAGCAACGTGTGGGTTTCTTTCGTGTTCTTATTCTTATTTTCTTACAAAGAAGTCTGGACAAGCTGTATGATTTATGGTGTGTGGTTTTTTTAAATGAGAAAATTGATAAATTAACTCCGCACTCCAAAGGCAATTATTTGCGTCTTACTACATGAAAAACATGCTGTTCTTTTGAAAATGTTAGAAGTAGAATTATAATTTTTCGTCTCCATTTGCTGAGTTCCCCCCTAACCGTTTGGATTCCCCCTGTGGGGACCTGCAGCACACTGACCTAAAACAACACAGCAACCACAAGTTTGTTTTTATTCTTTAAAATAAATGGATCCTCCTTTTTTGGCAGAGCCAATCACCTGAAGTCAACCCGAGTGAGCTGCATTCCTCCTGAGACAAACAACAACTCCCTTTTTTCTGAGCTGGCTCCTCTAGAGGCATACCGACCACATTTTGCTGACTCTTTTCTCAGACTTTCACTGCTAATCTTGGTTCTCTCTACACAATGAGGCCATCATTTCTTCTGGTGATTCAATAGAGCCAACGACCAATTTTGAACCATCTTCAACGTGTCATTTGCAGAAATTTGTGTGAGCGTATGCAATAAGGGGGACCAGACAGACATTCAGACTCCTTCCTCCTGACAGCACAAAAGAGCAAAGGACTGGAATGCAGATACTCTGTGTTCAAGAGTTGTTATAAAAAGAACACAGGAAACAATGGGCCCTGCTGCGTCCCCGTGACCAGCAGGAAACGCTGCAGTTTCAATTTAGGAAAATAGCATGCAGAGTGTGTGTTATCTTCATTTTCATAGATAAACGCTCCACATGTGTTCTGTCATAATGGAGGCAAAATAAAAAAATACGATTTAAAGTGTTTAGTGTTTGATCTCGTTTTTCTCTCGTCATTAAGATCCAGTGAAACCGCACAATTCGAAAAATATGCTCACATGATCAAAATGAAGTCTGGACGGAGAAACGACCCAGAGACACTGTTTCACTTCCACAAAGATAAAGCCATAAACCAAACCGTATGTTGTGATGGGGCATGACGCAGAAGAAAACAATTGTAGCAAAAGTCTAACATCCTGTTAACGTTTGAACATATGACGCCAATCATCGATTCATACTGCAATGAAAGGCATTTTAAATAGTGAAAAATAAACAGAAGGCCTCCCGACCCACTATTACGAAATGAATTCCTGCCTTTACCTGATCTTCAGCAGGGCTTTGTGAACGTGGATGCACTTCCCATCAACCAGGAATTTCAAGTCGGAAATCTCCGGGCTGTCAAACTCCTTCTTCAAGGACTGTGCAACGGTCAGGTAGTCGTCTCCATCTGTAAAAAACACAGACGTTCCCCTATTTGTTCCTTTGTTGTGTTGTAGTCTTACATCTTAAACTGAATAAGTGCTACGTTAGGTTTTGTGTTCAGGTTATGATATTTCAGGAAATATAATTATACACATATATATATATATACATATATATATATACACAATATAATTCCTTTTAAGTTACAAATTTTACTTCCTTGCAATGGAAAACAAAACACAGTAAAATGGGTTATAAAAGAAGCATCCTCTCATGAGACGGGTGACTTTTTTAAAAAATTCATTAGCCTGAGCAGAGTTCATGTAAACATCTGTTTGACACGAAGAGGAAACAGAGCTTCCTGTTTTCTTAGACCGCTTTCAGTAACTTGCACCTATGACACCTACAGCATAATTATCTCAAACTGGTCAAAGGGCACAAAATGGAAACCATTTGAAATGTTCAACTAAGCTCCCCTACATCTGGAAAAATGCTCAAACTCTATTTTGGTATTTTCTCTCACCCACTGAGAGGAGATGCCACGTCACTGCTGGCGTGGCGAAGCAGGCGAACACGTCATCGGTGCTGCTGAAGTGGGTGAGGTGAGGGCTGGACACGGCCTGACCCCGACACTGACCCCACATCAGGACCTGTCCGCTCTGCGTCTTGGCGGCTGACGTGTGGCTGGTGTGACATGCAGCCACCTCCACCATCCTTTGCAAAAAAGAAATAAATAATCAGAATAGACAACGTTGAGTCCTCATAAGATAACACATTTTAAAAGAGACAAATCCATTTATTAATGATTGCTAATCATTTAAATATAATGAAAATGTACAGGGAATTTGCAATTAAACAAACTCCTTCTATTCAATGGAATTAAACGATCCATAAAACCACACTGATGGATGGCATGTCACTGATAGGTAGACAGAGTAGAATTAGTGTTCCAACCTCTCCTTATCTGCGTTTATTGGAGTGGGAACGGCTTGGTTGCTTTTATTGCCTGTTCCCAGTTGTCCATAAGAGTTGGCCCCCCAGGCGTAAACAAAGCCCTCATCTGTGAGCGCCAACGTGTGCGCATATCCACAAGCTACCTGCATTTGGAGGGAGGAAAAATGTAAACAGAAATAAGATGAGTTAATAATAAACAGGACAACCTTAATATCCAAAATGTTGCAGGTCGATGGCATGAGTGTGTCTCAAAAGTTGGAAAACACAAAGCTGGATGCTAAAAGAAACAAATGAAGGAACGTGTTAAAATAATCAGGTCTGTAAGTTTTAAAGAACAAACACCTTTTAAAGACAGAGTATCTCAATAATAAAGCTGGGCAAAAGCTCTGTCAGGCAAAGGAGACTCTCCACATGATCCAGAAACACTGCTGCCCTTTCTGGGTCAGCGCTCATGGAAGTGGACCAGAGCACAGTGCAAAACAGATCAATCAAAATTAGACTGTCTCTGGTCATTCAGGATACCAAAGAATAAAGATAATGCCTTTTCCAAAGGGACGCTTTGCATATTTCAGCAAGACAAAGTCCAAATCCTACACCAGACTGTATCTGTTATAAAAGATTGGCTTTGTTGTGGAAGAGTCCATTTCCAGATTTTGCCACACAGTGATCAAATGGGCTCTCTTTTTCTTTTTTCTGAGACATATTGTTACAATAAGAGATTAAGTTATACTTTTCTTGTCATTTTAAAAAGTGGAACTGACCTGGACTATGTTGACACCCTGGAGGGCAGCGATCCTACATGGTGTCTGTTGATTTCCATTGTTGCCCAAACCCAGTTGTCCATTGCAATTGTATCCCCAGCCATAAATCTAAGGGAAAAAAGAAGAAAAGACTAATTCAGGGTGTTTTACATCCTCACAGGGCACTGTTGTGTGTTTCAGACTAACTCTGGAAGATTCCTAGAACGTATGCCATAAATCAATGCTGTTGATGAACAAGAGATCTTAGACATATTTTTGGCTAAATCACACTAAACATCAATCAGGCACTAAAGTGGCTTAAATTCTTAAGGAGGCATTTCATAATTTGAGTCGCAGCTTGAGGCTCTTAGCATAGTTTCCCCTGCACTTCCAAATAAAGCTGCCTCCTGCCCAAAAGGAAAGACCTAAACATGGCATCTGGAAAATCATGGGACGTGGTACCTCTCCATTGTCCAGCACGGCCATGGAGCAGAGCTGTCCACAGGCGATGTTGACCACCACTTTGTTCTGCAGACAGCTGCTGACCCGGCGTGGTGTGGGCTGATTGGCGGTAGACCCTGAACCTACTTGGCCGGAGTTGTTGTAGCCCCATGCAAACACCTAACCACAGATAAAAACTCACAGTCCAAAGATACAGCGAGTAGATACACACTCGTGTGAGGAGGCTGGCTCACCTCTCCATCGGTGGTGAGGGCAATAGTGTGGTGGGAGCCACAGGCCACCTCCGTCACCCTCTTACTCAGGAGGTTTGTGGACACCAAAGCGGGCGTCAGTCCGTGGTTGGTGGTCCCATTTCCCAGTTGGCTGTAGCCATTGTGACCCCAGGCAAATACCTCTCCATCTGCACAGGGGCAGAGAAACGTATTCATCTCATCACTGGAGTAATAATTTAGAAAAATGACAAGAAACAGATGAGCTGATTTGAAGCCAAGGCTTTAAAAATGGCGACCTGGATTTTTATGGAGTTTAAATTGTTTTGAATATGAAAGGCGTGTTCAAAGCGTGACAGTCAGACAGCGAGAGCAAAGCGACACTGAATGCGGAAGTTTTGCAACTGTGGTTAGGTGGCGAAACAGATAAAGGCAAACAAAGCTACAACACGCTGAGTCAACTAAAAAGAGGATCAAACCAGTGAAACCGCATCTATCTGGGTTTTCACCTTGAACCACCGTGATTGAAAGTGGAACAGTGACCGTCTCTCTACATGTTAACAAAGTTAACAGATTAACTAAATTGGTCTTCTGTTTAAATAAAATTTTTAAAAAAGCATCAGCATCACCCAATAAAAGGCCAAATGACTGTAAAAATACCTGTAATTGCAGTGTGTAAATATGTCTGGCGAAAATTCAACTTTCAATCTACAAACTAACAGCTTTTCTAATGTTCCAACAGATAAACGGCAGCTTATCTTAATGGGTGGATTTCAGGTGTAATATTGCGGCTATAATCATTCTAAACCTACAGGAGTCGTTTGGTCCTGTTTGCATGGGATTTCTCCTTTAATGCGTCCTGCTGAAATATCGCCCCGCAGACAAATGGGGCTTTTCTGAGCGGCTCCTTTCTGAACTGATTACCTGCAGTGGCGATAACCACATGTGGTCCTGTTCCATAGCTCAGGGACACAATCTTCTTTCCACACAAGACATCAATCCTGCGCGGCTCAATGGTGCTTTGAAGGTCTCCGAGCCCCAAACAGCCGCTGCAGTTGGTGCCTAAAGCAAAGACCTGCAAACATCAAACACAGCTGAAGAGCCGCTGACTCTCACAGAGCCTCCGGCAGCTCTCTCTATAGATGCTTACTAAAACATATGGAACCATTACACTTAGAGGACGTTTATTCTGCTGACAGAACGGAGATGAGACCCAAACTGTTAGCCGGCGGAGTCAATGAGCCGAGACCCCTCTCACTATTTAGCCAGACGTTTAATACTTCAAAAATGAATGAAATGAGGGTTCAAAATGTCCATCTGTGGGGGTTATGGCTGCCATCTCGATCCCACGTCACCAGGGACTATGGAAGTTTGTTTTATCTCAGGCAGTCGTCTCATATAATAACATATAATAAGCATTACTGATTTTATTTAACACAAATTTCTGAAAATTTTCGGCCAATCGCCCGACTGCTTCTCTGTGGTCCTGTTTTCTTGGTTTTTGTTAGACTTTTCTATAGATAAATTCCATTTATTAAAGACTCTTAACAAATATCTATTGCTAATTGCAGCCATATGTACTTTTATCTCATCTTTTTTTAATTCACTGTTCCAATTCTAAGACATGTTTCATGTTTTCTTTTTCCTGTCTTGTCTTTTCTTTTAAAACACAGATGATCTGAATATTTTCAATTGTTTCCACTGATAGTTGTCCACTTTGGCTCGCCTTTTCAGTAAATCTGCATGGCCCAGCGGCCTTTTAAGCACTGTAGCCTTTTAACTAAACACAAGCAGGAATAAGTGAAATTTCTAAATACATCCTGATTTTCCTCCCAATTACTTTGTGATTCCATAATCGTCTACTCAACTTCATCAAAAGGAAAAATGGTGGCCAGGATGTTTGGATATCAAATGAATCTGTTTTATGCCATTTCTGTTTCATTTTTCTATAACAAAATAAATATGTTGATAGTAACATTTATTTTATTTCTTTTTTTTGCCTGAAATTGTACAAATACACACATGAAAAACTATAAAACCGTAACTTGTTCCTTCAATGGAACCATTTGTAACATTAGCAAGTTATACACAAACAGTGTTTTAATGACAATCACTTTAGTTAACAATAAGAAGTAGGACTTTTGTCTTAAATAAAATCGTCTATTTTCAAAGAAGCTATAGGCCAGTTTCACTTTAACTACAATAAAGATACACAAATGAATATTTTAAGGCCAAGTGCTCCAAAACAATCCCCTGTTTGGGCCACAGGGGCAAACGAATGCGCAGACAGCGCCTTTCCGTGGGATAAAAATAGAGCTTGCTTAGGTATTAGGCCGATATGGCTAAAGATAACCCCATTCTATCTGCTTATCTCTGTGAAGAGAGCTGCCCCTTATACTACAGACCGAGAAGCCGAAGGCATTTTTCATCCACTGTCGGAAGAAAACAAACAACAACTCAGAAAAAGGGCAAATCAACTCTGCTAAAAAAGATCAGGTCGATTAAGCCTAACAGCACACCTCCGTCTGAGCGAGAGGATTAAGGCACCCTCGCTCGGAGCCCAAACGTTACCTCGTCATTAACTGTGACATAGAGAGCCTCGTTTGCAGCGCTGCCGAAGACACAAGCCTGCCGGATGAGCCGGAGCTCCTCAGGAGGAAGGAGTGCAAACACTGGCCACTTCCCCACGTCCAGCATGCTACTCAGCTGTGGAGAGAGGGGGGGGGGGGATAAAAGACACTGTTACACTGATCTGAATACAAGTCAGAGTCTGGCTGATCAGCTGAATACCTGTTTTGATTGATTAGTTAGCAAAATGTCTAATAAAACTAAGCTAAGAGAAGGTCACGGGAGGAAAATGACAAGAGTTGGGTTAATAGGTTTCAATCTGGTAAATGAGGTTGGCGGATGAATGAAAAAGGTTTGCCAGGACTACATTTAAAAAAGTATAGATTTTCTTTTCCATAACTTCAATGTGCTACATTTACTTTATTTATGAGATGAGTTTGGATTTCTCTATACATCCTTGTGTCGCAATTGTGGAAAAAAGGTCCAAAGTGGAGTCACGACTGAGAAGCTTGATGTCCGGTGTTAAAATGACAAAAACGTTTTTCCCAAAAATTTAAGTGTATAAGCCCAAAAAAAGGAACTAGGATTGGTTTTCTTTTCTTTTCTTTCCCTGCTCATTCCTCTGGCATCCCAGCTTCATCTCCAGCTGCCGTAGACACCAATGTGTCAGTGATAATAATCAAACAATGACATGTATTTACAAATGTTTCTGACTAAAACCAAAACAAGGGAGAACTACTTTTATATCCATGATATTTTTGCAGCCAATAGTGATGCTTTTAGTGTACTTCCATCTTATGATAACATATCTTTTTTTTAAAAATGGGTTTAAATCCTTCTACCACCACATGTGCTTCCCTTTTCCCTGGACACCAAACACATCATCCACATATATCTTTATTTTCTTATTCACCTGACTTGTGTTGCCTGGTCTGATATGCTGCTCGCACTGAATGGAAAGTAAACAACAAAGGATGTGACAACTACTCTGGCTGACTCACAACAACAACAACTCACTTCCAAATCTGAACTAACACTTCAGATCCTTAAAAGCTTCAAACATTTAAGCAAACAAACAGCATGCAGCTGCTACAGTATGGGGGATCCTGGGAGGATGCACTTAGCTTGAACCCAGCCCCGCACAGCCCCTCCCAGCCCCGCATAGCCCCGCAAAGCCCCCGTCAAACGCTTTAAATGCCAAACAACATCCAAACAGCAAAAGCAGGGCTCGCTTCCTAAAAGTTGCAGCCTGTAAACCGGAGCTCAGCGGTCTGTGAAGTGCCCTCCACCACTCACAGTCCCCCCCCCAATTCCCAACTACTTTCCAGCCCGGGAGCTAATCAGCGCGCGGGGTGTTGTTGCTGCTGGTAACGGCTCCAACTGTTGACGTTACCTTGCCGTTGTTTTCGCCAGTTTTTCGTCCTCTGCGTAGGTCCCGTTTATCGTTGACACGAACACCTTTCTGAGGGAATCATTTCAGTTGTCTGGCCGGGGTCTATTAGCTATGTCTGCAGCTTGTTATTGCTAGCTTTGATCGCTACATCATCTCCTTAAAAAAAACTTACCCTCAGCTTACTTCCTGTAGGCTCGTGGTGCGTTCAGAGAAGCTCGGAGCTCCGAGCTTCTACTATTTCCGTCTTTCACATATGTTCTATGACTTTTTAAATGAAAAAAAAGGCTTTGCACAAAGATTAACATTTTTATTTTATTTTTTAATTTATTATCCATCCATACAATTGTACCAAGCATTGTTGTTATTTCTCTTTAAATTGTTGTCACTTTCTATTGTTTAACATTTTTTTGTATACTTTGGACATTAATTGTGCTGTATGAATATTTATATTGTAGACACGCGTTATGGCTGAAGGATATTTACAGAATAAAACACACAGGGCATCTAGATATGTAGAATATGTTACTCTTCTGCTCCCAGAGTTTGCAATTTTGTGAAACAAACATTCACAGACACACATCCTAAAAATGTAAATGTCCAAATGTAAAATAAACACAGCATTTGCAGGTATGACTGCAAAGGCCTATACACACACACAAATACACGCACACACACAGACATACACCACCCCAGGTAAAGTAAATTGAAATGTTCATGAAAAAGGCAGGTCAGTGTTTTGTGTGATCCTTTGGATAAAGACCCTGGGAGCTGCTGGGATTAAAAACCAACATTTCTTCTTGCATTGTGGTAGCAGCTGCAGAAACCAAGGAGAGCATAGTCTGTTCACTCAATGCAGACACAGATGGTGGCTCCCCCTATCAGCCTTCCATTTCTTTTCAATAGTTTAATTTCGTTTTTGCTTTCTCACCTTAACCCTTGCAGGTCAGATATTTCATCACTCTATCTTAACATTTCATCTGAAAACTTTTTGAACAGTATGTGCTTGTTCCAGTTTCTTTGACCTGTAACATACTTTTTACCTTTGGAAAATCCTTAAAACATAGTAAAATGTATGCTAAACAGGAAACTGAGAAAAATGTATAAAGCAACTTATATGTCTGAAATGATCATTTCAGTCTCATCATCATAACGTCGGATTTGTAGATTTATTATTATACATTATTATGGGAACAAGAGCACTCAATTATCAAGTCCAGCAGGTGGAGCCCTGTGAAGTCTGACACATCACATATGAGACACCTGAAGGAAGTGCATCACGTTGCCCCTTAGATTTTACAGATTTTTAAAATATATTATTTGGATAGATAGATAGATAGATAGATAGATAGATAGATAGATAGATAGAT